GTGGATCTCTTGTGTGGACTGGACCAGGCTGAGGTTGATGGTGGGATGGAAATTGTTGAAATTATGGTGGAATTCCTCAAGGGCTTCTTTTCCATGGGTCCAGATGATGAAGATGTCATCAATATAGCGCAAGTAGAGTAGGGGCGTTAGGGGACGAGAGCTGAGGAAGCGTTGTTCTAAATCAGCCATAAAAATGTTGGCATACTGTGGGGCCATGCGGGTACCCATAGCAGTGCCGCTGATCTGAAGGTATACATTGTCCCCAAATGTAAAATAGTTATGGGTAAGGACAAAGTCACAAAGTTCAGGCACCAAGTTAGCCGTGACATTATCGGGGATAGTGTTCTTGACAGCTTGTAGTCCATCTTTGTGTGGAATGTTGGTGTAGAGGGCTTCTACATCCATAGTGGCCAGGGTGGTGTTATCAGGAAGCTCACCGATGGATTGAAGTTTCCTCAGGAAGTCAGTGGTGTCTCGAAGGTAGCTGGGAGTGCTGGTAGCGTAGGGCCTGAGGAGGGAGTCTACATAGCCAGACAATCCTGCTGTCAGGGTGCCAATGCCTGAGATGATGGGGCGCCCAGGATTTCCAGGTTTATGGATCTTGGGTAGTAGATAGAATATCCCAGATCGGGGTTCCAGGGGTGTGTCTGTGCGGATTTGATCTTGTGCTTTTTCAGGAAGTTTCTTGAGCAAATGCTGTAGTTGCTTTTGGTAACTCTCAGTGGGATCATAGGGTAATGGCTTGTAGAAAGTGGTGTTGGAGAGCTGCCGAGCAGCCTCTTGTTCATATTCCGACCTATTCATGATGACAACAGCACCTCCTTTGTCAGCCTTTTTGATTATGATGTCAGAGTTGTTTCTGAGGCTGTGGATGGCATTGCGTTCCGCATGGCTGAGGTTATGGGGCAAGTGATGCTGCTTTTCCACAATTTCAGCCCGTGCACGTCGGCGGAAGCACTCTATGTAGAAGTCCAGTCTGCTGTTTCGACCTTCAGGAGGAGTCCACCTAGAATCCCTCTTTCTGTAGTGTTGGTAGGGAGACCTCTGTGGATTAGTATGTTGTTCAGAGGTATTTTGGAAAGATAAAGAGTCTTTCATCTCAAAAGATGCTACGGCACATTACAAACTACGCTCGTCCAGCTGCAGTGAAATGCAGCCACCTGCAGCATGGCCAGGCCTTTCGGCTAAGGGTGCTGAGCCAGCCTCATGGGTACAGGGAAAAGGCAAACAATTGATTTAATGGTTACAACGCAGTGGACGGAGTCCCCCTTGGTGTGCCAGAGGTTGGTCCTGGCAGGTACCACCAGGATTGGAGATCTCCTGGACTACAACTGGGGGTACTGTGTGGATCCCAGGGTGGGGGATTGGCCAGCACATGGGGCTATCCACCCCTCGTACCCCACAGCACATACTCCAGGAGGTGAGGGCAGCTTTATCATCTGCCTCTCGGGCCTTCCTTGAGCGGGTCCTGCAGGAGGGCGCTCCCTGCCCACCCCTCAGCCCTGATCCTCCTGATCTTGTCATTTGGCCCCCACCCCACAAGCCCCAGCTGCTCCTTCTACATAACCCGATCTGGCTGCGTGACTTGCAGCTGGTCCATTTCCAAACTGTGCCAAGGGAACAGCTGTGTGCACTCATGCTCCACGCCTTTCATTTCGTCACCCTCATGTCCCGCCCCGACACCACGTGGTGGGACATGCTACCGTCTGTGGAGGTGAGGAACCCTGGTGGGCCAGCCTGTACTCCACCTTGATCCCATGGCCCTCTGGGGATATTAGTTGGCCGCTCCTTCACGGAGCCATGAGCATGGGAGTGTACTTGGCGCAGTTCACCCCATTCCCTGACTCCTGCCCCTTCTGTGGCGTGAGGAGACCATGGCACACATCTATCTTGAGTGTGCCACGCTACAGCCCCTTTTCTGACTCCTTCAGAACCTTCGCCTTAGATTCTGACTGCACTTTTCCACACACTTCCTGATTTATACCCACTCCCCCATCCACGGCCCCATGAAGTCGTGAGACCTCCTCCTGGCACTGGCCAAGGTGGCCATCCACCATACCAGCAGGAAGTTGTTGGATGGGGAGGTGCTCTGCGACTGTGGGGCCTATTTCTGCTCCTCCCTTAGATCCCGTATCCTGGCAGAGTTCCTCCATTGGGTCCTTGGGCGCTTTCGAGGAGCAGTGGGCACTGTCTGGGGTTTTCTGCTCGGTGACCCCCTCTGGCTCCCTGCGTTTGACCCTATAACCCTCACTCCTGTTCCTGCTTTGTCATTTGCTGCCCCCCGACTTTATTTGAACCTTGGGTCTAGTGACTCCTCCCCTTAGGCTGGGGGAGGGGCCTCCTGATGTGGGCGGGCACTCCCGGGAATTCCCAGCGGATCCTTCCTGTCTCATGGGCCAAGCCCCGTGGCCAGTCTGCCCTGCCTGGGGATTGCCACTGCACCTGTCACCTGCCCCGCTCCTAAACATGGACTCATTATTACTGCCCCCAGATACCCGCCGCCTGACCCTCCCCCCCATTGGACAGGCCCCCAGATACCCGCCACCTGACCCCTCCCCCCCATTGGACAGGCCCCCAGATACCCGCCACCTGACCCCTCCCCCCCATTGGACAGACCCCCAGATACCCGCCACCTGACCCCTCCCCCCCATTGGACAGGCCCCCAGATACCCGCCACCTGACCCCTCCCCCCCATTGGACAGGCCCCCAGATACCCGCCACCTGACCCCTCCCCCCCAGTGGGTTGGGAGGGGCTTGGTGGGGGAAGGGCGGGGGCTCTCGGGTGTGGGCGGGGCTTGGTGGGGGAGGGCGGGGCTCTGTGGGCAATCGTGGGGCGCTCGGTGCAGGGAAGGCGAGGCTTGTGGGGGCGGGGCTATGTGTTCGGCGGGAAACGTGGCTCTTCAGTGAGTGGGCGGAGCTTTGAGGCTATGGGCGGAGCTTTAAGGCAGCGGGCAGGGTTGGTGTGTGGGCGGGGTCTGTGCGGCTCGGGGGTCCTGTGAGGGGCGTGACTCTGTAGGACGTCGGCGGGAGACTATGGGGCGGGGCACTGGGCGGGGCCGTAGCGCAAGGGCGTGGCGGTGGCTGTGGCCTCGCGCTGACTGGCTCTGAAACTCTGAAACCTGTTGCCCTGGGTTACTCACAGATGCAGCCGCTGGCCTGACGTCATTGGTGGGCGGAAACCCTTTGCGCGCGAGGCTTGTCTGCCCCGCCCCGTTAGCAGGCTTCCGATCGGGCCAATGGGAAGGCGCGATGGGCGGGGCCTGTGCCGCGTCCTTCCAATGAGAAGGGGGCGGTCGGTTCGGCCGCGGTACAATGGGCGGGAATAGCTCGCACCTTCTTGTCCCGTGAGCCCGCCCGGGGGCGGGGCAGTTCTGAGTGGGGGCAGGAGGTTGGAGCGAAGGAAGGGGGATGGGGCAGTTCTGTGAGGGGAGGGGACGGGGCAGGAGGTTGGTGTGGGGGGTGGGGCGGCTGTGTGGGGGGGAAGGAGCAGGAGGTTGGTGTAGGGGTGGGGCGGCTGTGTGGGGGGCAGGGGCAGGAGGTTGGGTGGGGCGGCTGTGTGGGGGGAAGGAGCAGGAGGTTGGCTTGGGGGTGGGGGGTTGTAGGGGGAAGGGGAGGGGGTTGGGCGGGGATGGGGCGGCTGTGGGGGGGCAGGGGCGGAGGTTGGTGTGGGGGTGGGGCGGGTGTGGGGGGCAGGGGCAGGAGGTTGGTGTGGGGCGGCTGTGTGGGGGGTGAAGGAGCAGGAGGTTGGTGTGGGGGTGGGGCGGCTGTGTGGGGGCAGGGGCAGGAGGTTGGTGTGGGGGGTGGGGCGGCTGTGTGGGGGGGAAGGAGCAGGAGGTTGGTGTGGGGGGGGGGGGCTGTGTGGGGGGCAGGGGCAGGAGGTTGGCTTGGGGAGGTGGGGCGGTTGTGGGGGGGAAGGGGCAGGAGGTTGGCGTCGGGGATGGGGCGGTTGTGTGGGGGCGATGAAGGGGCAGGAGGTGGCATGGGGTGGTTGTGGGGGGGAGGGGCAGGAGGTTGGCGTGGGTCGGTTGTGGGGGCAGGAGGTTGGAGCGGGGGGAGGGGCAGGAGGTTGGAGCGGGGGTGGGGCGGGTCGCTGGTGGAGGCGGGAGTCCCCCGCAGGGCGCCCCGCCCCGGCGCTGGCCCAGGGGAGGGGCCGAGGGGCGGGGCCAGGCCCGCCGCTGGCCCCGCCCCCCGGAGGTGCGGCGGCTGCGGTGGCGGGCGCTGCGCTGCGGTGCGGTGGCGGCGCGGGGCAGGGCGCAGAGGACAGGGGCAGCCGCCGGCTCAGCATGGGTCCGTCCGGCCCCGTCCCGGGAGAGAGGCGGCGCCAGCCCAGGGCGGCGGCCGCGGGGGAGGCGCAGCGCGGAGCGGGGGCCCGCGGCGCCGGCAGGTGCTAGGTGCGGGGCGTGTGCCGCCCAGCCGCGCTGCCTGGCCGCTCTCGGCTCGCCTGCGCTGGCCGCCACTTCTGCCCAGTCGGCGAATCAGGCGGCGGGATCCGCCAGTCCCGGGCCGGGAGCCGGCCGCTGCCAGGTGCGTGCGGCCGGAGCATGCCCGCCTGGGCTCCGCCGCCCTGCCGCCCACCTGCCGGGGAGCGGGCCGCCCAGCCGTGAGGAGCCGGCCGCCGCGCCCTGCCCTCGCCGCCTCTCTGTGCCCAGGGCAGGCGGGAGCCGGGCTCAGCGCGCAGGCTGCCCTGTTACTTGCCCCGCTGGCCGCTGGGATCCCCGGACTTGCCCGCAGCCTTCCCGTTGCCCGTCCGGCAGGGCTCCGCTGCCGCTCGCCGCCCGGGCTCCGGAGCATCTGTTGCTGACTGAACAGCCTCCCTCGCTCCCCAGCCTGGCCCCGATGGATGCAGCCGCCCTCGCCAGCCCCCGCCCGCCATGCGCCTCTGGCTGAGCCCCCCGGCACTGGGGCCGTTCCGTGCGGGGGAGCTCCGCGCCCCTCCCTGCCTCGGGAGCCCCCATCGTGCAGCCCCCCATCTGAGCTCTCGCGTTACACTGCTGCGGGCTGCCATGGGGCTGGGACCAGCTGCCTCCTAGGTGCCGGCGCTTGGCTTCGGACTGCTGTGCGTCCTCTCCCCGCTGCCGGGGCCTCTTCTCCCCGCCCCGCTGCACTCCAGGGTCGGCCCGGGGGCTGGCGTCCTCCCCCGCCCCTGCCTCTCCCGTGAGCGCTCGCCCCGGTCGGCTCCCCGCCGTCTCTCCCTCTCCCCGGCCGTGCGGAACCCTGCCGTGACTCCGCGGGGGAGGCGGAGCGGGGGGAACATGGAAGAGAAGCGGCAGGCGCATCAGGTTGAAATCGACCCGGATTTTGAACCCCAGAGCCGGCCCCGTTCCTGCACCTGGCCGCTGCCTCACCCCGACTTCCCCGGGGAGGAGGAGGACGGAGGCGCGGCGGCAGCCGGTGGCTCCCGAGCTCCCGCGGCCGGCGGAGCGGCAGAGGGCTCGGAGAACACGGGAGCCGTGGCGGATCGCAAAGCCGCTTCGGCGCTGCCTTCGCTGGGGGCGGATGTTGGACAGCTCCGCAAGGCGAAGAACTCGCGGCGCAATGCCTGGGGCAACCTGTCCTACGCGGACCTCATCACCAAGGCCATCGAGAGCTCCCCGGAGAAGCGGCTCACCTTGTCCCAGATCTACGACTGGATGGTCAGATACGTCCCCTACTTTAAGGATAAAGGAGACAGCAACAGCTCTGCCGGCTGGAAGGTACGTACAGCCCCCGCCTGGGGCCAGAGCGGTGCCCGCGCCTCCTTGCCCGCAGGCGCCAGCCAAGTTTAATTTAAATCCCTGTGTGCTACCAGAGAGGCTGCGTTGAATTAATCTGTGTGGTCAGGGGCTGCGCTTGCAGCTGCCCATTTCCAAGCGGGGAGCGGACAAGTTTCTCTCTCTGTACCATCAGAAATACCTGCTAGGTCCCTGCTTGTGAGCGGAGTTTCATTAAGGCGATGCATGTGGTCAGAGGCTGGGGCCATATCAGTGCATGTGTGGTTAGGGGACGGGCAGCTTGATCTATTTGATCAGAGCTCTGGTTTTACCTAGAGCTGGGCTGGGAGAGATTTCCCATCCACATTTGTGCATCTGCATACAGGGGAGCAGCAAGTTTTCCCAGCTTCTCTAGGGTGGGGAGAGAGAAGAGGTTCCGGTTGCCTTGTGTGTGTTAGCAGGGAGATCCCTACCGGGCTAACTTGTCTACAGCAGCTCCCGTTCACCTGTTCACCCATTTTGAATGGCCCTCCCCCTTCCTGAAAGCTGGCCGAGGGATCATTCTCGCATTGAGTTCTTGCTGCCGCTGTGTTATAACTGCCCATGCACCTGCCCACCTGGAAAGGACCCTGGGCAGCAGAAGCAGGGAGGTGCTTGTGTGTGCATGACTCTGTCTCCTGTTGGTGTTAATTGAAACCTGATTCAGATGAATGACACCAGACACTTGCCCCTTCCCTCCCTTTTTTCCATGTGGTTATGTTATACATCTTTGTTCTTGGGTTGCATTTTAGAGGAAGGAGTCTGAGAACAAGAGGTCTGGGGGAGAGGGGAGAAATCCATATCTACTTTATCGCATGAGAAGTGACTGGCTCACCTCTTTCAGATGCTGGCCGGGCTAGTGGCCAGCAGAGCTGGAGTCAGACATGTGACAGCGGTCTTGGCTCCCGGTCTGTCAGGATAAAAATTGGTGCTGTGCTATAAGCCGTCTTTGCCTGCCACACGTGAGCATTGGAGCATTATTAATTACAGTGCTGCCAATCCCCAGCACTGTGGTGCGAGTGAGTATGGGGAGGTTACATGGACGATTGGGATTTGCCTAGCAGCATAATGTGCTTCTGTTGTGTGGTCAGTAAAGTGAGATTAGGGGAGTCCCGTCCTACAGTTGGAGAGCTAAATTTGCCTGGTTTGCCCAGATAGATGTACATGTGTGAGTCTTGGGCAGATCAGGATTTAACTCTTGCAGCGCGGTGAGGGGAAAGTAGGCACAGAGGTCTTTCCCCTCGGAAGGTGCTGTGCTTCCCTCCCCCCATGTGCGCGCACACAGCCCTCTGCTCTCTGGATTTGGTTTCACTGGCAGGCTGTTGCCTTTGGTTTGTTAAATATTTCTGTCAGCAACCATCGATTCCCCTCTTACTGTGTTTTCCCGTGGAGCTGTTACACAGGCACTCCTGGAGCCAAGTGGTGGGGGAGAGGCTGTGCTGAGCTCAGTCGCACCTGCCAGCGGGGGCGTTGTCTCTGTCAGCACCCTGCCCAGTCGGAAAGGGCACTTTTACAAAATGACTGCCACTTGGAGACACACCTCATGTTAGCAACACTTGGCAGAGCGGAGCGATTGCCTTGTGTCTAGATGGTGTCCGTAAACTAGGAGGTGGTTTCCCTTAACCCCTCCCCTAAACCCTGTCGCCTCCAGTGTGATTAGTGGGTAACAAGCAGTGTGTTCATTAATACGAGGGCTGCTGTGGGATGTGGGCCAAACTCTGTCCTGGCATTAGCGAACCCAGCTCCCATTGGGGTCAGGAGGAGCTGTGCCCATTTCTGTCCGTGCTGAGCCTACCCCCGCTTCTCCCTAATGACTTGGAGGCTGGGCTGCTCCATCCCCAGGGGACGTCCCTGGCTGCTATGAGACCTTTGTGAAGAACTAACTCCAGCAGCACAGGTGTGCAGATAGTATGGTGGTCACTTGTATTAGCAAAGTCCCTGAGGTCCCCACTGAGAACATGCCCCATTGTGCTAGGGGTTGTGTAGATGGGCTCTGCCCCAGAGAGCTTATGCTTTACGTAGCCATGACAGACAAAAGGAGAATTGTTATCCCCACTCTCCAGAGAGAGGCAGTGACTTGCTCACGCTGACGCACGGAGTGTTTAGCAGAGCCCGGAATCAAACTTAGATCTCCTGAGTCCCAGTCCAGTGCTTTAACCTCAGGGCCATCCTCATGGAGAAGGAGCCTAAATAGAACAGAGGAGAATGAGACCATTTTACAGACACGTGCCCAGTAGAAGCTTCCACTGTAAAGAAGAAAATTGTAGCTGAATTAGTATGTGAGGCACTCTGACCAAAGAACACATGAAATCAGCGCTTAGGGACTGGTGGCAGACACACCCACTGAAGTATCAAGGGACTGGGAAGGGCCAGAGACAGCACAAGGTGGCTGGGAAAATGTGTCCCACACTAGAAAGGTGTCTGAGTGGTAGTCATTTAGAGAACCACAAAATTCCATCACTGGAGGTTTTGAGTGCTGGGGAACTGAAATGTTATTGGGTGCTCTTAGGCAGCTGACACGTTCCACCCCAGAGGTGGTTGCATTTCAGTAGTGGGTAAAGAGATTCCCTTCCTATCCCTTGTCAGCTCTCTGGGATGTTGTGTTATTTAATGAGTGTAAAAAATGCTGTATGATCTCCAGATATACGGGCTCCTGGAAGGATAAAGGATTCTTGTTATTGCTGTGGTGGGAGGGGAGAAGGGGGCTTGGGGAGGGTGGGATCAGTGGTGAGGGGTGGGCAAGTTTGCAAACTATGACCTCACTAGAAGGAGACTGAGAGGGTTGAGGATTCAGATGAGCACAGTGGAAGAGCCTTGGCAAGGGCACTCACAAACCACCAGGGTGGAGCCGGTACTAGGGCTGGGCTTGCAATCGTGCAGTCGGGATGAGCAACAGCTTTGGCCTTGCAGCAGTAAGGGCTTGAATGTGGCTGTTGCTTTTGCAGCCCAGCCTTGGACAGGGTGAGTGCTAAGGGGTTTCCTGTCTGGACAGCAGGTGTGTCAGAATTGGGACCATCCCCAGCATTCCCTCCAGTGCACCTTGTTGTCTATATGTCACGGCCTCGCTGCAGCCCACGGCTAAGAGACCAGACAACTTCATAGCATGATGGGCTGGTGCTGCTCGGAAGCATCCACTAGGGAGCACTTGTGCGTGATGCAGCTTGCGCTGCTGCTTCTGTTCCCCACCCAGAGACTGGAGAGCATCTGTGGGGCAGGGAGGGTCTCTCTCCTACCTTCTGGAGAGGGCCACGTACCCTCACAGCACCGTGTGCACCTTAGTAGCAGCATGTGGAGCCCGGGAGCAAAGATTGTGTTGGGTAGCTGCCAGCCCTGAGGGGATTGCTGATTTCATCAAGTGTTTTGCATGAAAGGGGCTTCATCTGGAGCACCGCCTCCTTGTGGGACCATGTTCTCCCTGGGGAATGACACCCTGAGACAGGCATGCAAGCTGGGAAAGAGTGACTCACCTGGCCAGATGTGGCTGCTGGCCCTCCCCCTCCCCCCACACTGCTCGCCGTTTGAGGTGGATGCTATGGCCACAGCGATGATTGGAGGGGGGATAACCCAGGCAAGGAGCCAGTGGAACCCAGAATGCTGCAGCGAAGCTGGGTTGGAGCCAGGATGGGGTCTAGAGCCCCAGCACCTGCCTTGAGGGAGAAGAGGATCGTGCACTTGGAGAGGAGAAGTTCTGCTGGGGCCGCTCCCAGCGCTGCTCCGAGGAGCATAGGGCATGCCTGCAGGAGTGTGGACTCCTGCTCGGGACACTGCTGCTGCAGCTGGGGAAGGAGGCAGGAACAAAGGATCTGTCAGGTGCTCAGCCATTATTGGACATTAGTAGGCATTTTGTCTGGGCAAACCTATCCGCCCCCAGGCAGCCGGGTGCCTTCCATGACCCAGAGGATTTGGTAAAGGGATTGGGGGGTGAGTGCAATTTGCTTCCGGGGCCTTGGCCAGAGGGGACCCGTCCCCGTGGATGGCAGGTGGTTCCCGCACTCGCTGATGGCGAGCGGCGATTCTGTGCCTCTTGCCTGGGCTGAGAGCAGAAGGGTTTGTCTGCAGTGTGGCACAGCTGCAGTTAGTAACGACTCATCTCCTGCAGCCTCCCGATGACATTCAGACCGTGTCTGACACCTCCCACACAAGAACAGCTGTCGGCAAGCTGCCTGCCCAGTTCCCAGTGTTGCACACTTAGCGGGAAGGCCCCATAGTGAGCGTGAATGCAGCAGAGCACCTCTGTGCGGGTCCTGACAGCAGCATTCTCTGGGGCAGATGGCCCTTGTGAATTTGGGAAGAGAAGGGTTTCCAGTACCCCCGAGCCAGGAGCCCTGTGTGGGTACATGGCTCTCTCCCTGTCTGTATCAGGGCACTCTGGACCCACATTCCCTGCCTGTGTTTGCTGTTGGGGGGGCCTGTAGCAACCCCTGCAGGCTTTGGATTGATGTGCTAAGTACCCCTTTGGTCTCCCTGTCCTTCACGTGGTGTTTTCTGAACCTCTGTCCTGTGCTCCCCTGCTGATCCCTGTGTGCATCAGAGGGGACCGCTTTCTCCTTTTCTCCAGCAGCCAAAGAAGCAAGGCTGCCATGGAGCTAAGCCAGACCGTTGGGCTTTCTTGGCTGGGATCAACGAGTCCTGCGTGTCCAGCAGCAGCCACGACTGAACTGGGGGTAGGGGGTGTGTTGGTGTGCCATCCCTATGAAGTGCTAGTGTGCCAAGGCTTTAATGCCAGACCTGCTGTCTCACTTGCAGCACCCCACGTAGCGCAGCAGGGAGCCTGGCCCGGTGCTCTGAGCTGGCACGGCGTTTCTCTCCTCAGCCTTCTCCCTGAAATAAAGACAGGTTCTGCCCTTTTAATCTGTGGATGTGAGTGGGGGCTGGGAGGGAGCTGCTGAAAGGCCGAAGTACACACCACGCAGTGACAGCCTCTGTCTGCGCCCTGCTTTCTAAGCCTTGCCCCGCACACTGTC